ATGAGATATGGTACCCCACCTTCACCAGGTAGAGAGGAAAAACAAAAATACTATAAATCAAACTGAAACAAACAACCTTACAGGATAAAATTGGGCGGAAAAAACCAAATAATAGGGGCAGAAACACTAGCAAAAATGAAATTCTAATTGTTGAAGAAAGCAAAAATGGAAGATTGTATTTAAACTAGAAAAGTGAAAAAAGAAAAGAGAAAAAAAGGGAAAAAATGTTGAAATTAAGAAAAACAACAAATGGCTTGGCACCTGTGGCTCAAGTGGCCAAGGCGCCAGCCACATACACCTAAGGTGGCGGGTTCGAATACAGCCTGGGCCCGCCAAACAACAATGAAGGCTGCAACCAAAAAAATAGCCAGGCGTTGTGGCGGGCGCCTGTAGTCCCAGCTACTTGGGAGGCGGAGGCAGGAGACTCGCTTGAGCCCAGGAGTTGGAGGTTGCTGTGAGCTGTGATGCCATGGCACTTCTACCCAGGGGAACAGCTTGAGGCTCTGTCTTAAAAAAAAAGAAAGAAAAACAACAAACAGCAACAACAACAACCCCCCCCCCCCAAAAAAAAATCCTCCAAAAAACAAAAACCTCAAAACCAGAAAACCAAAACAGTATACATATCTTGCTGAATATTGTCTGGGCAACAGGTGATCTTCTGAGGTATGAGATGTTAATCACAATGCTGATACAGCTGTATGAGATGGAGACTGGAGACCACTGCTGATTTCTCAGACCTCTCAGGCTTGGGAGCCCAAATGTCCCCTCAGCCTGCTTAAAGGACACTCTGGACTGTGAACCTTGGCTAAGCAGAAGCTTTCCAAGGAAAGCACTTATCTTTGAGATCTCTTCTGTCGTGGCTGTCCGCTTATCCAGTGCACCAAAACTGGTCTCACTCTATGTCCCTGAGGGCCAAGGCTATATGCCAAAGGCTTAGATCTCTGCTCTTCCCCGGTGTCTCTGTCCCTGCCTCTAGACAGCTCAGACATGAGATTACTCCCCCAAGGTCTCCCACAGCTGCCCCTGAGCTGTGACCCTCAGGGGCAGCTTCCCCACAGTGGCTGTGTGAGCAGCCCACAGCTAAATGATAATAGCTCCTTTTTGGCTCAGTGGCTTAGTCATGGGTCCCAGACAACACCCAAAGTCATCTGCATACTCGCCCAAGATCTCCCAAGGCAGTTCAATCAAGTGCCCAAGTCCAAAAAAACCAAAACAGCCCACAGGTAAGGCTCTTCCTGCTTGCAGTCTCCCTGTTGCTATGGTTACAGCTACTAAACAAACCCACCTCCCACTTGCCGGTTCTCCACTGCTTTTGTCTTCCTCGTGGGGTCCAGAAGTCTCTCACTGACTCCCTGTGTTACCAAAGGGAAGTTTCTGGGCAGATCCCACCAGCCAGAGATAGCTGGAGTCTTCTCTCCCCAATCTTACTGTGCCTGGTTATACAGAAACTGTTACTCAGCTTCCATCTTGCTCCAGAAGCTGCTTTTTTTCTTTTTCTTTTTTTTGAGATAGAGTCTTACTATGCTGCTCTTGGTAGAGTGCTGTGGTGCCACAGTTCACAGAAACTTCCAACTCTTGGGTTTAAGTGATTCTCTTGCCTCAGCCTCCCAAGTAGCTGGGACTACAGGCGCCTGCCACAGTGCCCAGCTATTTTTTCGCTGCAGTTGTTTTAGTTGGCCTGGGCCGGTTCAAACCCATTACCCTCGTTGTATGTGGCTGGTGCCGTAACCACTGTGCTATGGGCACTGAGCCAATACTCGGCTATTTTTAGAGATAGGGTCTCATTCTTGTTCAGGATGGTCTTGTACTCCTGAAGCTCAAGTGATCCACCCACCTTGCCCTCGAGAGTGGTAGGATTACAGGTGTGAGCCACTGCACTCGTCTGGAAAAGATTTCTTAAATAGAACACATATAAAGCGTTGACCATAATTTGAGTGGGGGAGGTTGATAAGTTTGAGCACATTTATTTAATCAAAAGATATAAAGAGATTTAAAAGCCAACCTCCAGTGTGGGAATAACTGTAACACATAGACTTACAAAGGGCTCAAATCTGGAGGGTATAAAAAGTTCCTACTAATCAATTAGTGAAAAATTGACAGCCAGTTTAAAACAACCAAAAGACTTGAACTAGCACTTTATGAAAGAGGATAACGAAATGGCCAATAAACATGTGGAAAAGTGCATAGCTAAGGACACAACAATTAAAGCACAAAGACAACCTTCAGATGACAGAAAAAAAGAACAAACAAGTTCTTTACTGTTACTGGGCAAGAGACATGAACAGAACCTTCTGTGAAGAAGACAGATGAATAGCCAACAAACATGGAAAAATGCTCATCATCCCTAACCATAAGAGAAATGCAAATTAAAACCACCTTGCGATACCACCTAACCACAGTGAGAATAGGCCACATCACAAAGTCCCATCTCTGCAGATAGTGGAGCAGATGAAAAGAGAAGGGAACACTTTTTTTTTCTTTCTTTTTGAGACAGTCTTCGTTGTGTGTCCCAGGGTAGATTGCTGTGGCATTACAGTTCACAGCAACCTCTTGGGCTTATGTGATTCTCTTGCCTCAGCCTCCCAGGTAGCTGGGACTACAAGTGTCTGCCACAACACCTGGCTATTTTTTTTGTTGTAGTTGTCATTGTTGTTTTTTGCAGGCCCTGGCTGGGTTTGAACCTGCCAGCACTTGTGTATGTGGCCGGCACCTTGACCACTGAGC